TACGTGCATATACGCACCCGCGCGTCCGTCTCTCTATAAGCATGCACACACACACACACACACGCGCGCTCGCGAACCGCATACCTTTCCCTCCTTCTTCTTGTCTCAGGCTTAAAACCACCTTCTTCTTGGCCCCCACCCTTTCAAGCTCAACCGCCTCCCGCAACCACTGCCTACCCAACTCACCTTTCTCTCCCTTTCTCCAGACCTTTCCCTTTCTTTCTTGCTTGCTTGCTCGCTCTCTCTCTCTCTCTCTCTCTCTCTCTGTCTGTCTGTCTCTCCGCAGAGAGCAGACCTTTAATCCAATCTGTGTAATAACCGTTGCCCTTTAAAAAGCGCGGAAACCCACCGCGTACACGCCGACCCTTTACTTTGCTCCTTCGGGATGGAGAGGAGAGTTGCGAGTCGACAAGTTCCACGATTTTGATCACGAGACTTTTTTTTCCTTTCTTCTTCTTTTACGTCATAAGTTACAGCGTGTTGTTACACCGTACTTTGCTTGATAAGTGAATAATAGACAGTTTGCGCGAATTGCAGAATTCACAGCGAGAAGAAGGAAGTTTAAATCGTAATTATTCAGCGTAGAATGGAGATAGTAGTTTCCCAATAGATCACTATAAATTTGTAGGTGTTTAATTATTCTTTCCACTTGGAATGATTCAACTTCTTATTTATCGAAATCGTCCGAAATCGAGGCAATTTCTTCAAGAGTTATTTTTATGATATTTTTGTTGATATTCAGTCTATGAATGGCACCATTAAATCACAGGCGACTAGATAATTTTTGTCTAATAATAATAATTAAAAATATTTAACTCCTTGCACGACATTGTACCAAGCAATAAACGTGTTCATTTGTTCTTTGGAAAAATTCCAGAAAAAATACATTTCTGTTTCTTATTTTTGGAAAAACAAATTTCCCCGAAAGTGTTAGATCCTAGTTTTATCATCAGTATTTGCCGAAAAATTTCACAAGACTGTTGACTTCGAATTTTAACGGATCGCAAGTCCAAAGGAAAAAAAGGAAAAGGATACGTTTCTACACTCAAAATCTAAAAAATTCTAATTGAAACTGCCTTTACATCGATATCTTCAGAATCAACTTAGTTTCATCGGTTGATAGGGAGTTCGAGAGATCGGGCAGATTCGATGGTGATCGAACGGAAGGGTTTCATGGTGGTTTTTAGTCGCATTCTTCGGGTAAAGTAAAATGGAGGAGTAAGAAATGTGCCGAGGGAAGACACAGGGAGGTTTGGAGGTGTGCACGGTGGGTGAGGAATTTTCGAGGAGTGGTTTTAGGTGTGGTGAATTCGGCGAGGAACCGTTGTTCTGGTGGGGAGAATTTTGAGGGAGATAATGTTACGTTCTATTCCCTTTGAAGTCGTGCGATTGATCTGGAGGAATGTTTCAAAGCGGCCAAATGACAGGTTCACATGAAGTGGTCTTAAATTCATTGAATTCGAGCAACTTCATTACTCTGGATTCATTAATTGAAACTTGAGAAGATGAAGAAGAAGAAGAAGACTCTAGATTATCCTTCTAGCTTTGCAAGTGTGCTTTGTACACTTCTATCTATTGTTTAGATCATTCCAAATTATCTATTTATTATTTAGATCATCGCGTATCAGAGAAATCTAATCTTTGTCACATTATGTACAGCACCAATTAAAAGTTCGAGTATAAATTTTTGTGTGTGAAATATGTAAACCTTCTAAAATCAATATAGATATATATCTAATGATTTAATTGCCCACATTATTTTAATATATATGTAGAAAGTATATATACGTATATATAAGTATATAAAGTGAACATATGTATTTATAGCGAAATATGTAGTTTATAGCTAGTATCAAATACAAATACAATAAAAATTTTCAAATTTTTAGTCACTGACTCTCTTTTAAATCATTATCTTGCACAATATCGAATTAACATGTAAAACAATCTGCGAAACTCACCTTCGCAGCACTTATCTAACCTTCGATACCTTAGCAACACTTAAAAATTAACCCCCCAAAAACCTGGCTCCCCTCGCTTCAAACCAACATACCAACAACCACACTAAACCAGAAGAAATGAAGAGCATGCGTGCGCCAAGCAGAAAGTCACGTTTTCGAGGGCGTTCGCGATGCAACGAACGAAAAAGAGGAGGAGGAGGAGGAAGAAGAAGAAGAAGAAGAAGAAGAAGAAGAAGAAGAAGACCAAGACAACGAAGAAAGAGAAGAGGAGAACACAGAGAAAAGAGAAGAGGGCCCGGGCCAAAAGAGAAGGCCCTGTTCGGCTGTTCTCCGACCGACCCTGATCCTTCGTGGCTTGGGACCCACCACACCATGGGATGCCTCCTCTCCTTCAGCGCCGGTCGGCGGCTCAGCATCCTTTAATATCTCTCGGCGGCCTCCTCTCGTCTAGCGTTTCCTCTTTGTCGCTCGTGTTCCTCTTCATGGTCTCTCCCCTCCCTCCCTCCCAGGACGGCCCTCGCGGTCGGCCACTTTCGATAGCATCTTGATGGAATGCCTGCGGGGTAGGTACCTGCCGCATTGTCGGCTCGGTTCAGCCCGTGCTTTCGCACTCGCCGTGATCGCTTGTTGTGTCCTGCCGCCCGTTCCTGTCTCAC